ACAATGGGCAGCTGCAGTTGTGTAGGTCAGGGTGGAAAAAAGATTAGAGACTAGAAAACAAAAATCTGTATGACTTTATCCCAGAAAGCCCAGGGCTGGTGACGCCCCTATGTGACTCCACCATCTCACCTCTCCGTCATCCCTCTGCTTTTTAATCTGGGATAGAGAGTATGAGCAGTGATGGTATAAGCCTCTCTTCAGGACATGGACACTTCAGGTCACATATCGCTGTCATATAGCTCAGTGATACCGCTGCACATTCATCCACCGGCTCCTCCAAAGACAGCGGCAGCGTCCCGGATTACTGCATCTGAGATTATCATCCTCCTTTATCTCGTTTGCTTATGTTGCATGATAGAAACATAGCGATTACTGCCCATATATCCCCTATACCACGACGATGGCTTTTGCTGATGGGTTTAAGGGCCCGATAGCGTAGGAGGTCTGTTGTGTTATTACAATAACACATTTCATGCTTAATGGCATCTGGAGACTTAATTGTATTGTATGGCTGTACATTCACCTATTTCCTTGCATCACATTCTCTGTGCTGGAACGTCTCAGTGGATGAGAGAAGAAGGCGGCACTGATTTTAAAATGCACTTCGGCCTTTAACTTTAGCAAATCTGTCCTCAAACGTGCCAATGTGCAGCTGCGTATGAGTATAATTCATTGTCCAAGATGTTCTTACATGGTGTACAGACACATTTTGCAGACACTTATGTTATGCACTTTTGCAACTATACAAGGGGGCGTTGCACTTGTCAGAGGCCTTTTCACAAACAAATCAAAATGATGTTTGACTGAAAACACAATGCTGAAGATAAAATGAGTTAGTTCCTTTTATTATTGTAATTTTGCTCCCGGTTTATGTTTGTGTGTCTATTTTTGTCAAAGGGCTCTAAAGTCTTTTCATGCCTGTTTTTGAAACTTGATTCAACTAGCAATAGCAAGTAGTGAGAAACCTGGGCTTTTATACGGTGTGGTGTGAGGTAGACTTTGAATGAGTTGATGATAACTATAGAAAAGATGTTTAAAGTGTGAACTTTCTATTTTATTAGCCTGCATACCTTGATGTTTTGCATTCATCTGAGAATGGACAACAACTGGCACCTCTCATAGCTTACACTACCATTCAAGAAAAAAAAAATACTTTTAATGAAAAAGGATGCATTCAATTGGTCAAAAGGGACAGTAAAGACGTTTATAATGTTACAAAGTAATTATATTTTAAATAAATCTTATTCTTCTATTGATCGAAGTATCCTGAAATAAAATGAATTACGGTTTCCTCAAAACTGTTTTCAGCATTGATAATGATAAGAAATGTTTCTTGAGCTGAAAATCAGCATATTAGAATGATTTCTGAAGGATCATGTGACACTCAAGAGTAATGATGCTGAAAATTCTGCTTTGTCATCACAAGAATAAATTAAATTTTGAAATATAATAAAATAGATATTTATACAACTTGAATAGTTATTTTAAATTGTAATATTTCACAATATTATTGTTTTTACTGTATTTTTGATCAAATAAATGCTGTCTTGGTGAACAAGAGTCTTTCATTAACATTTAAAAATCTTAGCAAAACCCCAAACCTTTGAATGGTAGTGTATGTTACCTCACAAGACTGAATCGATCAGTTGAAAAATACTTCACTCAGAAATGAATCCGTTGTTTTTGTCTACGTGGTAAAGCACCAAGTCAGTGGGTTTGAAAGATAATTTCCTTCAAATGGATAAAACATTAACTGTTCTATTTAAGATGACATACCCTTCTAAAAGCCATTCACTCTGAAAGAGTATTTCGTGTAGATTAAGTACAAAGTGTATTGTACATAATTTGGGATGCAACTAGGATCAGTCAGCATGTAGTGCACTCAATATGTAAATCATAATGAGATTACTTACATCCAGATTTCCAATAGTTTTTACACAAAATGGCGTCTGATGCTTTTGCACACAAATAAGCGAATCAAGAGCAGAAGTCTTGTAATATTGCATATGCTCACCAATACGGATTCTTCTGTGAACTTTAAGAGCAGGTCTTTACCCAGTTTGCAGAATGTCTAGATAGAGCTGATGCTGCGCTAACCTCTCACACTGGAGAGCTAGCTGTACCTGAGTGCCGTCTGCACCTGTGAGGACCTGTCACGAGGATGGAAGTGTCAGGTGAAAATATAGATGGTGACGTAGGAAACACTTTTAGACTATGTTCTTGTAACTCAAATGGTCTTTTCAGGTCTTTACTGCCTAAGAGAGGCACAGAAATTATTCAGGGTCTGCAACTGAAACGCAATCAGCCACAGCTGCTGTGACAGCCAGAGGGAATGTGAGGAGGGTGAATATCTGTGCAATATAGCTGAATGTTATATAAAGCTTTCTGCAGTAGTTCTACCCATGTACGCAATGCAAATTTAGCAGTCAAAAGTGATCTTAAAAAAGTTTTACAAGTGATATTAAAAATGTGTTTCACTACTGCACATATATGTGGATTATCATGCCAAGGCTACTAAGAGAGGTAAATTGCAGAAGTATGTACTGCAAAATCTTTTTTTTTTTCTTGCAGTCTTCCAGTAAAAAATATCAAAACATCCATATAGCAAGCTAAACTTTTCCAGGATCAAAATTGTGCATGATAAAACAATGAGGTCTTATTTTAGTATTATTTATATACTATTATAGTATTTGTTCATTTTTAACAATTAATTTTTGTATTTTTATTTTGTGTGCTTTTGTCCATTTTATTATTTTTTATATTTCAGTTTTAGTAATTGTTGCACTTCAACTTAACCTTAATTATTTCAGTTAGATGACAAGACAACAAGTTTTTCGTCTAATATATATATATATATATATATATATATATATATATATATATATATATATATATACTGTATATATATATTTAAATTTCTTCTCCATTTCAATTACTGGAAACCATTTCAGTAACACTTTACTTAAAGCCTTTATTTATAATGCATTATAAAATTATTTTTAATGCATTAATTATGCCATGAAATTCACATTATAATGCATTGTATGATCTCATGAATAATTGTAACAGTTACATTATAATACACCTTTAGAAAGTATAATGCATTAAAACACAACAAACTACCAATTTCAGATGTAACAGGGTCTGTGTATATTGTAATGCATATTAACTTTGGTTACAATTATTTAGGAAAAGATATAATGCATTATAATGTACATTATGTACATCCCTTTATAATGCAGCATACATAAAGGCTATACATAAAGTAAAGTGTTACCACAATTTCTAATAGTTTTTGTTTGAGTTTTAGTCAACAATAACAACACTGAAAAGAACATAATCTAAAATTAAGTTTATTTATGGTAGAAACATGAAAAAAATAATAAAATAAAGTTATATTCTATTATTTTGCACAATTTTGTTTCTTGAGTAAGATTGTTTATATTTTTACTGGAAAACAAGATAAACACTGATTAGTTGGCAATTTGTGTGGCTTGATTACAAGAGTTCTATGGGATTTAGTACCAATTGGAGTGATAATCTAGTGCTTCACTCCTTCACACACAAGTACTGAAGGGGATGGAGAGGTAGTGACCATCTCCTGGTCAGCCAGCGGCCCTGTCAGCATCACCTCACCACAGATCAATCAGATCAATTCTCACAAACACAACACGGTTTGCATGTGAAAGGCCATGAATGTCAGTTGGTTCACTGCCTCAGTTCATTCATATGTTTTGTTAAGAGCATGGACTATTCTATGGTACTACCTAAAATTACAGGATGACATGAATTTGTACACTCTCACCTCTTTGTTATACATTACAAAAATGTCTGTCACATCCCCCATGTCATTTGGCACCTGTGTTATTTGCTTTCTTTTGTGAAACACAAAATGAGAGTATTCTGCAGAATGTTCAAGCTGCTCTTGAGTAAATGAATGTAGACAGTGACTGTCAATCTCGCAAAAGCATGAAGCACTTACATTTTATTTCTTCTCTCAAGCAACAGACCACACACAGTTCCACAGCTATCAGCTATCAAGTGTAACTTATTTAACATGTGTATTTATTGAGCAAGTAAGATATTAAACACTAACAGGTCTTTACTTTAATTATAAAAACAAAAACAAATAAAATAACACTTTAATTAGAACTAGGAACTAGAAATCCACTGCCTAATTTCAATATATATAAATATTTTACACACAATATTAAGTTGATGTAATGATCAACATTATTATGCCAGCAGAACTCAACAAAATAATGTTTGCCCCTCAAAAGGTTTAATTAAAACAATAAGTTAGAATTTGAACTTGCAACCATGCATTTATTTAAGTTGTGGTAACAGGTCCCCTGTGCACAAGTCATATGAACTCTCATGGTGTTTTTATGGAACTTTTGAGAGCTTTTTAGAGCTTGACAGCCCCTAGTCTGTCTTTCTTTGCCTCTTTTCTCCTTTTGTGTTACTCTAAAGAAAAGAAAATCATTTTGGGTTTGGAAGATAGAAGATATAAATCTTTTGTAACAACGTATATCTATTTACTGTCACTTTTGATCAATTTAATGCATCGTTACTGAATAAAAGCATTCATTTCTTCCCAAAAAAAGTGGGGGGGGAAATCTGACCCCAAACTTTTGAGCGGTAGTGTAATCATATCCATGCTGATATTCATGTGATATTGCTTAAACATGAAAAATGAAACTAGCCGGAGGGGAAAACACACATAGTACTGTCTCTCCTCGGCTCAACTGCAGTTCTCTTTCAGGGGCAGACCACAGGCCGTCTGTAATCTTCACACCTCCAGTCCTGTCCTCACTCTTCCCCCTGAAGCGTCACATCATGGCTATGATGTACCATGCTCTGTTGAGAGACCCACTGTTCCCATGGCATGCATTTACTGTCTCCTCATGACTGCGTGTGATGTGTATGTGTGTGTGTGTGCATACGTGTGAGCCGCCATTCTCACACACTGAGGTAATGTGCATCTCTTCATCTCACAGGCAAACCCTCCCCCCATCATTGTGAACGCAGACTCACTGGATGCAGGCCCTTATGTAAGTATCTGCTTCATGCTCTCAGCACCTCCAGTAGCGCCTGCCTGCCTGACTGCCTGCCACGTGGAATTATCCCCCTCATCCCGGCCAAACCTTTCCTGTTGTACATGAGATAATAACAATAAAAATATGCAGAGATTAAACCACAGCAGATGTGGCTTTAATGCCGAGTGCAATTATTATTTAGCCGTTATAATGAGTAGTCTTTGACTGTGTTTATCAGCCCTATGCCTTGTACATGATTCATACCTCTCATTTTTATTGCGCTTTACAGCGATTCTGCTTTTTACATAATTAATGATCGTTGTGACCTTCTTGTGTTGTTAACATTACTTCATGCCTAATGATTCCGTTTATGAGTCTATGTTAAACAATTTTTCTTCCGTCTATTACAGGTGAACGGGAGTGATGGCATGTACAAATATGAAGAAATCATTCTGGAGAGGGTAAATATCATTCAGCTGTTTTAAATGTCTGTTATTTTAGGGCGTCTTGTAAAACTTGCCAATATTCTCCTCCACCAATGCTTCCTATGAGGACCTAGACACTAGATGGCAGTAAATGTTGAGCTACGTAAATGCCTGCAATTGAACTTCAGGCAATTCAATTTACAGCTGTGGTACATTATCAAAACTGATCATCACCTCAGTTTCTGTCAATACTAGAACAGTTGTCAATACTTTAGAAACACAAATAATGGTCAATCCTGATGAAAATCTATAGATGTATTATTAAATTCTTTGTAGATTACCATTAAATCAGTAGGTTTAAATGAGAGTTGAATTAAATGTATTGATATAAAGGAAAACAGATGATAATGCAAATTATTACAGTATGAACAGCAGTAACTTTAAATGAATGTCCTGTGTAGATCAAACACTTATTAGGTGTAGTACAAACGTTACATTATTATTCTCATTATTCTTAAATCAGTTGAGAATAATACTTGATAATTTGAAAACACTGCATTTTGATTATATTTACGGACTACTAAAAGAGTTAATGTACCACTTGTGATAATACCATGCAATTTATCTAAGTACAGGTGCTGGTCTTATCTACAAAGAATTATCATATGAACTATCATGGTTTTAACATTGCAAAGTCTTTTCATACTTCAAGTTTGTTCAATGCAAATGAATCTAAATCTATCTGCAAAGGCCATTCATTAAACAGCAGTGGATGTTGGATTTGGGTGCATCTCTGAGCTTTCAGCATAATTGTAGGGCTGTTCTGTAAGTGCCATTTCTGTACGCTGAGGCCTAAATAAACTATGTTAAGATCTCACATGTTAAAAGGTCTGCGGGTGTGAACGCTTCTTTAGTTGGAGGCTCACTGGGATGTCTTAGCTCCACTCGCTACTAATTTGCTCCGACCGTCGCTCATTAATTATAGAAAATAATAAAGTGAAATCTTTTCTCAGCTGTCTGCTTCAGGGCCTGTCTTTTGAGATGTGACTTTCAGACAGACCTGTCTGTCTCAGCTTTTTGGCACTGGAATGAAAACAGCAGTGTAAGAGGTGATGAAGTATGGAGGGAGAAATGGGCGGAAGCGGATACAATTTTTGGATTCTTGAAATGCGCACCACAAATTCCTATATTTAGCAGCATAAAACTGTCCATGCCTTGCTGGTGTTTACAAAGTGTTGAGAGCCAGGTGTCTTCCGAAAAGCAGATGCAAACGTTATCCACAAATCTTTGGGAAACGTCTGCATTTCCTCATCTATAATATTCTACTCATGTATGTCATTAATAGGGCAACTCTGGCCTTGGGTTCAGCATTGCTGGAGGTGTGGATAATCCACACATTCCTGATGATCCAGGAATCTTCATCACAAAGATCATCCCAGGAGGTGCCGCTGCCATGGATGGGAGACTAGGGTGAGTGATCTGTCTCTCAGGGTCTAATATTCATTTTGTGCAACTCTTGCTCTGTTCCCAAAACCAAGTGAGCTTACTGCATAGGCAGTATTTTCAGGCATCATAGGCAGGCCCCCCTTCCATAGGATGTTCTAAAAGTTAGACATCTTAATTATGTTGTCTAGTTTAGCCAAATTCTAAGGCAGCATCGCATGTATCCTTTTTTGTGACCGCACCTTATGTTGAGTGTTCCAAATTGGGCGGTTATCATTAGGATGATCTCTAAGAAGGAATCTGGCCAGTTTACTTGGTTTTGGAACAAAGTCTCTCTCTCTCTCTCTCTCTCTCTCTATATATATATATATATATATATATATATATATAAAACGTTATAAATTCATTACTTCATTGATCATGTTATTGCTGTGTTGACTTTGTATCTCTTCTTGTGTCTAAGGGTAAATGATTGTGTTCTGCGCGTGAATGATGTGGACGTGTCAGAGGTTGTGCACAGCAAGGCAGTGGAGGCTTTGAAGGAGGCCGGCCCAGTGGTCAGGTTGCTGGTACGCAGAAGACAGGCTCCTCCAGAGACCATTTTGGAGGTCAACCTACTCAAAGGGCCTAAAGGTTAGAGGTGCTAAATGTGCACCTAAATACATTTGAGATACACACAATAGAAATGGCTGTTATGCACGATATCGCTTTTATAGCAGTTCTGAATTATTTTGAACTTGTGTCGAATTCATAAAGTTAACATAATTGTCAAAATTGCCCTTATTTACAAAATGCATCAGGGCACATTTTTAATTTTTTTTCTCATTGAATTCCCTGTTTCTCTTGAAAATATGCCACATTAAGTGGCAGGTTTAGAGTGTCATTTCATGTTGACTTCCAAATTCCTGATTAAAATTTAACTCCATTCCATTCATTCAAGGTCTTGGCTTCAGTATTGCTGGAGGTATAGGCAACCAGCACATCCCGGGTGACAACAGTATCTACATCACAAAGATCATCGAGGGTGGGGCGGCACAGAAAGATGGACGTCTGCAGACAGGCGATCGCCTACTAGCTGTAAGATTTCACCTGCACACATGCACCTGTGTACTTCACTATATGTAGCGCCAACACATAGGCAACCTGGTTTTATGCATTGGAAGTTCATTGCATATCTTTGCAGGACCTTTTTTCCAGTGAATTTCTATATTTCTTTCAAAGACCACAGACACTGTTGTAGGCTATTATGTCGTATTATAGACAATATTTCTCATGTGTGAAGGTATATGGGCCACCGTGTGATTGATGTGAAGCTGAGCGCAAACTCAAACGAGGACACATCTGTGATAAAGAGAAACACTTGCATGGCACACAATTGTCAGGAACTGAGCAAGCTTTGACATGGTCATAAATGCCATAATTAAAAGGCTATGCATAAATCACGGCAGCCATAACTGCAGACATGTAAATATGCCTTTTCTTCCCTTTCTTTTTTTGATTCAGTCAGGGAGCTTGATTTCTTGGACAGAGTGCCTAGAGTTGGTCAAATTTTAATTATCTCTGTCAAGTCTGTGATCACCAGCTGCACTGTTGCTTTTTGTGTGTGCAAAGTTATAATGTGACAAAGTGACAAAGTAATAACAAAGTTATAAGTTATTACAAACTAGATTTGATACTGCATCTGATAATAGTGTGTATCCATACATTTTTTGGGGGGATGGTGTATTACAAGAATGTAGACGAAAATGTTACCTATCATCTTGGTATCGGTAGCTGGAAAGTTAAATGTATTATTAAAAACTACATTAGCAGAAGTTGTATCACTTTTTGCATTTAATTTATAATTTATAAACTTCCTTTCATTCAAATTAGAATTTGGATTCCTGTTTACAGTTAACTCCTCTCTGGTCACAAATTGCTCCAAGTTTTGCGGCATTTTCACATTTTTATTTAAATCTTTTCACTCTCTAAATAATTCAAATTTAAAATTGAATTCATTATTTTTAAGTTATTATTTTATTTATGTATGCTGCTTGGATTTATTGTGGGTTATTTAACAGTGATAGTTATTTGCAGAGGTGTAATAAAGAAAAAAAACTCCTCGATGGTCATACGACTGAAATTTGACCAATCCGTTGGCGTCTATTGACCAGTGAGTATTTCAGGGAGGCAGTTGTGAGTCCAATTCGCTATATACTCACATTTCAAACAGACTTGACTCCTTCCACTCCCTTAGAACAAATTGGACACATTTCTATCTGTGAAGCACTTAGTTTTCTGTAGTGTGTAGGTGCCCTAAAGCTTACAAAGGAAAAAGCACTGCGCCTTTCCAGCTACCCCACCCTCTCGTCCTTCCTTTTGTGACCGGACGGCTGAGAGCTAGAGAATTGAGCATCGTCGTCGATTGTTGGGCCATCCAGCCTCCGCTCCAGTCACTTCCTTCCCACATCTTCAAATGTGCTGTCGTGAACATTCTGAGTCACGCTTCAGAGACCAGCCGATGTAACATGCGTGTGTGTGTCTGCCTTCGCAGGTGAATAACATTATACTTCAGGATGTACGTCATGAGGAGGCTGTGGCCGCCCTGAAGAATACTTCAGACATGGTCTATCTGAAAGTGGCCAAGCCAGGACCAGTACATCTCAACGACATGTACGCCCCACCAGACTACTCAAGCAGTACGTACCTTCTTTTGCTGATCTCCATCAATCTTATGCCCTTACTACCTCAAAAACATTCCTAAACTGTTTATTTTATAGCCCAAGCACATGACTTTTCAGACTACATTGATAAACGTGAAAATGACTTTGCTGTTAGGGCAATTCAAACATAACCTACATCCCTATCTGCTTTTATCTGTAACCCTGTAATGAAACCGAGTGGTGCAGAGCCTGTGAGTGCTGTGGAGTTTTGTAACAGCACTGTGGTGTAGCAGTGGGCGCTGTTTTCAGACACCCACACACACTGCACTGCTGCTCCCATCAGAACACTGATTCCTCCCTCCCACTGAGAGACGAGGCTTTCACACAATCCACCTGCACAATTGCACACACAGCGGCCAAAATTACTACTAACGGCGGCTGAATATCTCTTTTTGGCCATGAAAAATATTTTGTTTTTCAATTGAATAGCAATTACAATGAGATTATTTAGCTGTTTTTTACTTCCATATTCATGTCATATACGAGATGAGCCAGTCTCTCAATAAAAGTCTCTCAACGAAAGTGCAACTATAAAACTGTAGATCAGTCAGTCATTTTTGATGGTGTAATCCAGGAATATTGCACATACAGTGCCCTCCAAAAGGCAAAGTGCGATTATGGACAATATCAGCATGAATCCTTATCCTTATAATTTGCAATTAAAACCAGCAATAATGATTTTCTTTTTTATTAGAAAATAAAAGACACACTACCGTTCAAAAGGTTGAGGTTATTAGTGTTTTTTTAATAGAAATAAATAATATGTTTATTCAGTAAAGACATAAAATTAAAAAGTGACAGTAAAAACATTTACTGTATATTTTGGCAAAATATTTTTATTTCAAATAAATGCTTTTCTTTTGAACTCTCCATACATTAAAGAATCCTGAGAAAAAGTGTATCACACTTTCCAGAAAAATATTAAGCAGCACAACTGTTTTGAACATTGATAATAATAAGAAATGTTTCTTGCGCACCAAATCATCATATTATAAGGATTTCTGAAGGATCATGTGACACTGAAGACTGGAGTAATGATGCTGAAAATTCAGCTTTGCCATCACAGGAATAAATTACATTTTAAACTACTTTGAAATTGAAAACAGTTCAATTGTAATAATATTTTACAATATTATTGTTTTACTGTATATTTGATCAAATAAATACAGCTTTGATAATCATAAGAGACTTCTTTTAAAAACATTTAAAAAAATCTTATCCAACCCCAAAATTTTGAATGGTTGTATATATGCACATCATAACCAGGCATGATTTTTATGATAACTACCGGTAGATTAAATTTGGCCCAGGCCTCATAGTTTGTGTTGTCCCTTAACTACAATCACAAAATAAGGATTTATGTTTATAATGTTCAAAAACCTAGTCAAATTATCCTTTTTACAAATTGATTTAAACTAGGTTCTGCACACACATCTTAGAGATAAACCGGTCCTCTGTAGTTACCTGGTGAAATCATCTGCCTTTTTTCCCTTTATTGGTCTCGGCCTCCCTCCAGCCTTTCCCACCATGGTGGACAACCACGTTGGACACAACTCCAGCATGGCTTACATGGGGGGCATGGAGCCTAAACCAGTGTACCAGCCACCCCAGGTCACCCCCTCGAGGTACTCGCCAGTCCCACGGCACATGCTGGGGGAGGAGGACTTTACCAGGTCAGAGTCAAGAATTTAATCATCTATTCACTTACGGTCACTCACTTCTTCACTCCAGGGTTCCCACGGCCATGAAAAATTTGGAAATATCAGGGAATTTTAACATTTCCAGCCCTGGAAAAGTCACCCAAAGAAAAATTTCTACAGCTCTAAAATATATATCTTGAAATTGTGAATGCAATTTTAATAATACAAATGGTACATAATCAAAATTTCCTGCAAAGTAACTGAACAAATCATGAAAATGTATTGGTCAAAAAGTGTGGGAACCCTGTCACTCACTCAGATGTCACTTTTCAAGAGCACTCATGCACAATTGACGAAAAGCAACACTTGCATGTCCATATAAATATATTTTTGATTAGAGGTGTACTTTGTTTTACCACAATCTGTGCTACAGTTCTTCAGCTTTAGTTGTTTAATTTCTTTTTGGCAATACTGTTCACATTTTATGATGTAACTGGGAAAAGATAGAACAAAAAAAAAAGATTTTAAGTAGGTGTCGAGTGTGGGCTGAAGAACGTCTACGAGGTGTCTTATGCCTCTCTGTGGTGGTGTGTTTGTGAACATTGCTTTAACGCAACATGACTGGTTGAATAAAGTCTCCAACACAATTCCCAACATGGCAAACAAACACTCTGGATATAAGAAATGCTTCTGGCATGGGGTCAAATGTCTTGAAGTTACGGCCACTGTTGCCTGGACATGAGATGTGTTTTACCTCTCTGAGCATGGACTCCCTGGAGCCTGTGAGTCAGCCCGGGCCCCAGAGCTGACTCGTCCCTCTCTAGCCATCCAGCTGAAGGCATCCTCACTTCTGCATGTGTGTGTGTGTTTGTCTCCGTCTGTGTGCATGTGTATGTGTCTTCATACAGTATGTCTCAGTGTCTGCTGTCTCTGTGTGTCTGAAAGCGCCCCGTTTACTGTGTGATTTCTGTACCTCCAATAGGGGCGAGCCCATTTACAGTGCCATCCACAAACCTCATGGGGACACCAGCCCTCCCTCCCCCCATCTGTGCAGCAGGGGGTCTGGGGATGTGGGTTGCAGCCCCGCCCCACCTGCTCTGTGTCAAAGCCTGGTCCCGTACACCGGCAGGTACTAACCACTGCTTCTCGCTCTGCCTGGCTTAGCATAGCATAGCCTAGTAGTTAACCTAATAACCCCCCCACCGCACGGCCACCAGCCTTCCCCCTACCTCAGCCCAACCTGCAGTGTGGCACAGGTAAGGTCTTGAGACGATATAGCTCCCTGCCTCGGGCCGTTTACTCCTCTGCAGTGTTGAAGAGATGCCATGCTTTTTTAGCCTGTGGTATTAAACTCCTTAAGGCCTGTTCACACCAACAGGAAGGTTTGGCACAAAGAAATTGGTCCAATTTTCAAATGTGATTTGTCTGTTCATACCCGGGCTGAATGAAAATGTACATTCATTCTCTGACTGTCGGTGGCGCTTTTAGAAAGCAGGAATTTTCTGGTTACTCCGGGACACAAAGCATTAAGAAACTTTATGTTTCTGATACCCTCGTCATGGAAAAGAAAGTAAATCAAACGGTATTTACTTGTTTTTTGTATTCACTGTGGTGTTTGTCAAACAATAAGTGCACAGAGATTCTTCCTCAGCTATTCATTGTTACTTTGCAAAATACTCTGTTTGTGAGCGCCACAATGCTAGGACAAAGATCACTTTCCTTTTCTTCCATGTCATACTCACTTTTTTCACAAATATATGACTTGATCTGAAGAAGGACAGATGCAGGTATTTGCACGCGCTCAGTCGGTCTCTCTCCCTCTCTCTCTCTCACTCATTGTCTGTTTAGGCTTGTTTAGTGCAAATCTACAGAGCCTCTGTGCAAATCACAATGGTACACAGAAAAGAATACATTCTTCACTTTTGTTATCATTATTAACTTATTTAACATTCAATACACATGCATGAAGTGTAAAACAAGAAGGGCATAGTCTTATGAAAAAAGAAAATAACATGGCTTGTCAGTATCGCGGTATTACAATATTGCGATTATCGCGACAGCCCTACCAAGTTGTTGTTTTATGTATCAGCAGCGGCTCTGGGCATGTGATCAAAAGTGTGAATCCTGGCGGTTGGCCAATTTTATTCACAGTGGGATGGAAAAGAGACGTCATTGACAACATGCGAATATTCGTGTTGGTCTGATCAGGTGCATTAACAGCTGCTCATTCAAATTAAAATCTCACAGAATTTCGAACCAAATATTTGTCTTGCTGTGAACAGGCCTTTAAGCACCTTTAGAGTCAATTGAGTCACAAATGTTTAGGACAGACTGTTTAGGTATAGTTTTAGGGATATTGACATTTCTGTCATCATTTACTCGCCTCATGTCATCTGAAACCTGAATGAAACATAAAAAGTATTTTTGAAAGTCTCCATACAAAGACATTAAATGGTGTCCAATGTTGTTTGTACCCAAATGATTTTCAAAAAAAAGAAAAAAAAGTCATACATGTGAGTAAATTATGGCAGAATTTTCATTTACGTAATGGACTTGAATCTTGCACAACCTACAGTAAATAGTTAAAGACATTTTAATCAAAACGGTAAAGCTGATTTCATAATAGTTAACCATTTAGTAAATCTACAATAAGGTGATAAATAATACCACTAATTATGTTTTGTAAGTTTGATGTATCATCCCATACTGATGCCATCTTCTCTTTTTTTCCTTTTGTTTGACTTTTTTGTTGTTGAAACTTTGAAAATTATGTTAAAATATACTGAAGAAGCCTGCAGCCTTTAGCTTTAGCTTTACCAAATGGTAAAGCTAAAGCTTTACCATTTGTAAACCCCCCCCCCCCCCCCCCCCCAATTCACAGTTTAAAACTAAGCCATCATCCTTTACCAACCCATATAATGTCCTGGTATTTTGTGTGCTCTCTGAAGCAGTCTTAGTCTGAGTGATGTACTGTGACTGGCTGTCTGGGATGGGTATAATCTACTTTATGTACCACTATGTGTCAGTGATTGTTGCTTAATTTTCATATACTCACTGTACAGGCTCTACAGTCTAAGGCTAATTTTTCAATTCTTTTTCAATAACCCTCACTCTACATATTAACCTTTAGCACATAACTAGTCAACATATTATCATGACATGATGATACCTTGTGCAGTTTATTGAAGAGTGTGTGCTATTAGAAGTTGGACTTACAATGTTCGGCAGGTAGAATCCATAGACTTACATTGAAAGACTGGAGCTATATCTAGAGACCATCAGAAACTATTTTGTTTGCCTTTGGCCAGTAAGCAATCACCCAGAACTCCCTAGCAACATCCTAGCAAACACATAGCAACATCCTGACAACCTAAACACTCTAGCAACTGCATAGCAATGCCCTGCCCTTTTGCATGTGCTAGTACCACACACATTTTATTCAGAAATTAGACAATATGAAGAGTTTTTGTTTAATTTGTATACAGAGCTATTCTTCCACATGGTGCCCACAAGTGTGTGTGTGTGTGTGTGTGTGTGTGTGTGTGTGTGTGTGTGTGATCATGTATGTAGTTTAACAATACTGACCTCCCACCTTTTGAAGTCTTGTACATGTATGTTTATACCGTAGTATATGTTCATCAGTTTGTATACTAGCATTGCATAGGTGTGACAGAGACTGGAGCGGTCACCCAAAGATTTATTATTCTCCAAACACATAAATACACACTCATGGAACCTTCCAACACAGGAATGTTTTGGCTTCTGTTGCAGTTATGTAAATATAAACAGTAGGACCTGCTCTTACCATAAATGTATAGGGAAGCGAGAGGTCGATTCTGCAGTCAGACTACAAATGAGTAGTGGCGCACATTCCTGAAGCTGTCATGATTCATTTGAATGGGGGAAAGCAGGCCACAAACACACACACACAAGCACACACACACACACACACACACACACACACACACACACACACACACACACACACACACACACACACACACACACACACACACACACACACACACACACACACACACACACACACACAGTGTGTGCCAATGCCCATCACACACATAGATACACATAGACAGTCTGTTATAATGTGCTGACATGAACACACACTCCCTTTGACACGTAGCCCAAACACACACACACACACACACACACACAAACCTACACAGGGCTACACCTACCAAAGTACATAAATAGAGTTATATTATCCCACTTTGCACTTCACTGTCCCCAAACTAAGCTGTCAAAGTAAGTCTGAACCTTATCACAATCACCCTGGAGGTCTCCCTAGAGGCTAATAAAAGTTGTTTACAGGCACATATACTTTGTGTTGGTGTACAGTGACAGTTCACTCCTGGAGGACTCTGCCAGTGTGTGTGTGTATATGACTGAGTCACAGGAGAGACTCTGATAGGCCCTCTGCCCATCTGTGCTTCCCCCACACTAGCACGGCAGTCACAGACACATTTAGATCCCTCCATCTGACCCAGTACACACTAACGGCCCCCTGGCTTCTTTACCAGCTGAATACATTATGGAGATTCGGGAGAGATCTCCCACCCACCCTTCGGATTGCATAATCGGCCGTGCCACCAATCGAACAGGCTAATGACAATCTGCTCGCACACTCAGGTTCACAAATGATGGACACACTTTTAGATACAAACCCAGACAGAGATGTGTATAATCACACAAATCTTTTAAATAGTTCAGGCCATTCGTGACCATGTTTGATTATGGTTTTCAAAAATGGCTTCCTTGCATGACTCATGGAGTTTGTTTTTCCATTCAGTGCATTACGTCACTTGTAATTCAGACTGCCACGTACACAACTGTAGGGGGAATAATAATAAATATTATATATATATTTAAGTATTTTGTAACTTGTGTTGAAAAGCTGTGCATTGCAGATGTATCTAGTTATGGTTGATGTTTCAAACTAAAAAAGGATATATAAATTAAATATCCACTGAAACTTAATACATAGAAAAATCATGAATTATGTTCACCAAGGGGCAAAAGGTTTTATGGCAAGATTTTTTGTGAAGCGGGGTAACATGCATGGGAATATTCACCAGTTTCATGCTGAACACATAATGTTCTCTCCTTAATATATAACTACAGTTCTAATGTTTGGGTTCGGTAAGATTTTTTTTTTTTTTTTTTTTTTTTTTTTGAAGATATTAATACTTTGCATTTAATTGATCTAAAGTGACAGTAAAAACATTTATAATGTTACCAAAAATTTCTATTTCAAATAAATGCTGTTCTTTTTATCTTTCTATTTTTGAAAGAATCCTGAAAGAAAATGTATCATGGTTTGCATTAACATATTAAGCAGCACAACTGTTTTCAACATTGATAATAATAAGAAATGTTTCTTGAGCAGCAAATCAGCATATTAGAATGATTTCTAAAGTATCATGACACTGAAGACTGGAGTAATGATGCTGAAAATTCAGCTTTGTCATCACAAGAATAAATTACATTTTGAAATATATTACAATAGAAAACAGCTATTTTAAACTGTAATAAAATGTCGCAATATATTTTATAAAGTGAATGCAGCCTTGGTGAGCATAAGAGACTTTGTTTCAAAAACATTTTAAAAAAAATGTATCAACCCCAAACTTTTGAACGGTAGTGTATAAACAAGTGTGCATCATGTCAACACTAAAGGACTGAAGAATCAAAATCAGATGTACACCCCATTGAGTAACTGCTTGTATTTCCCAGTACAATTGACAATTCAGAATCTAAATCTTAACATAATTGTCAATAAAGCAACACGATAAGTCTAGTCACTCATTTGTCATTAATTTTAGTTTATACTGTGCAAATAATGCAGTATAGAATATAATTGAAGCTGGTACTTTTTGGCAGCTTTACTCAGTGACGCACCTGATTGTAAACTGTTGACACACTTGGTTTATTCTTAGCTGCTTGGAGAGGCTGGAAATATCTTGAACGTCTCTTGGCGTGAAGTCAAATGAGACTGAAGAAGTGTGTTCTGAGGAAGAGATTGGTGGTTTTCAACCAGAGCTTTGAAAGCATTCAGAGAAAGAGGAAGACAGAGCAGCCCACAGTAGCCATGAAAGCCATATAGATGTGGAATTGCAATTTGAACAAATTAAAAAAGTAGAATTAATTAAATGAATTAAAACTGAAAAGAAAAAGCAATGTTTGTGAAGACAAAAAAAAGCATAAATCTTTAATTAAACTGTAGTAATTTCCTCTTCCTCGGAAACAACTTTCCTTGTCCCCTGACATCACTTAGGCCACGTGGGCTATTGCATAATTTTAGCCAATGAAATAGCTACTTAGCCATTGTTTTACATTCAAATACATCTACTGTATTATCGCGGCCACTTTTCATGATCCAATCAATTTATAATCGATAAAATCAAAATCGAGGATGTGTTATTGTGGTGGACAGCAGTTCATGTGGCTGGGTAAGAGTTAAGTCTTTCTCTGTTCCTGCAGAGGTGACGCGCGACAGGCGATGTGGTGCTGTTTCCCATCACTCCCCTTTCACTTTGACAAAGCACACATATACACATATGGCACTTCACAGCCTGTCTGGAGCGAGATACAGAGTCCTGGGGAAAATATTCTTCATATCCCTGCCTGGTAGCTAGCGGCAGGCACCATGTTCACAGTTAACATCTCGTCTTCATTGCCAATGGTAAAAGTCAATGTAGAGAGACGAGGTAGGACAAGCATCACCCTCATGAACAGGTACAGTAGGTCCAGGTAATGGTTTGAGTGAGTGAGTGACTGCTGGCATCTGATAACTGCTTTATCTTTTCGTGTGCAAGGGCACCATGAATTGTATAGCTATGCAATAGCAACATTTGCTGTTCGTTTCTTTAATTTGCTTTGGTACTATTTTAATAAAATCTATATTTTAAATAAATTCCTAGTACTAATCTCCCATTGATCTTTTTCAAAATCACCATATATTGACTTGATTTAGAACAAAACTGTATTTTCTCCAGATCTAATAAGTGTTTGACCTTGGCATTAAAAGTAATTGCCTTTAATTAATTAAATTAACAAAGTAATTTTCATATGCTTCTGTTTTCATTTATTTTAATACTTCTGATTATCATCAAACTGATCGTAATGTTTAACCAACAAAGGATTTGATATCAGGGTGCCATTCAGAAATGAATTTAATTTAATTTAAATTAGCAAACAGGTTGTGGAATTGCAATTTGAACAAATAAAAAAAGTAGAATTAATTAAATGAATTAAAACTCAAAAGGAAAAGCAATGTTTGTGAAGACAAAAAAGCATAAATGTTTGAATGTGGTCAGGGTTTGAAGCCCTGACCAGGTTGGTAGAACAGTTCATTTCCCAGAACCATATTGTCTATGTTGAATATCTTTGAATTGCAATTAATCCGGTCATTTCAATTAAACTTTCTGTGGAAATTCAACTTCTTGAAATAAAAGGGAACACATTTTTCAATTCTTAATTATGCACAACCCTGTCTGGTATATCTATAGAGTTTTAAGAGATTAATCAACCACAATTGTTAAGCATACATGTTCAAAATGAGTGTGTGTGAGCTTTTGCAATTTGTCACTTAGAGCAGAATAGACTGCAAAAGAGAGGAACTAATAAATAATGTTGTGTACAAGACACCCATTAAGCGACAGAAAACAGGGAACTGTTGTCCAGGTCATGGTTTTACTGTGTGTCATGTAATAAACAGAGGTTAAAAATTTGATAAAAAAAACTGTTTACCACTTGCATCAAATTTATGGACATAAGGTTCTCAGTAAATTGATTCACACTCCAGTACACCAGTAGATCACACAAAGTACACCACAGTCTGTTTGTGTAATTACGTGTTTCATATATGGACCAAACACTTAGCACAACTTGTCCGGTCACATAAAAGTGCTGTTTTCAGCGTCATAAAGCTGCACCATGGGCAGTCGAGATGGAATGGCTCATGTCGAGAGCTAGCCGAGTTCTGCAGAATTCTGAGAAACATGCGTACTGCCCTGCTGAAAGCAGGGAGCTGTCACTACAAATGTTGATGTGTGTTGCATTTTTGGGAACTGATTATGGTGTGTTATTCTGCAGTACATTCGGAAAGGGTTTTTGACAGCCCCTGAATGTAGTCGAGTCTCGCTGGTGTGCCAGCTCTGGGCAGTCTGGAATGCCTCTCTGCCTGCAGATGAATCACGGCTGCTAAAAAAGTGCCGCAGTCCTGCACAAGGGAGGAATGAGCTCGATGTGTGAATGCGTTTTGTGCCTGTGTGGGAAAGTGTGTTAGTTATTGGTGTGTATGTGTTAGCGCTCATTTCTGGAACAGATCTGGAACACTTGTTGTTTAGCTTTGTTGTGGATGAAAGTTTGCCAGTCTCCTCTAGTCGTGACTAGAGTGTTGTGTTTTCTCATGGATCTGTTCTTCTCGATTTCCTCTCTCTGTAAATGACAGGAGGAAAACGAAATGCAAAATAATAATTTACCTTCTTGCTAGACTGAAACACCCTATGAATTCTCTTTTTTTCTTGATGCAGTCTGGGATTAATGAAATCCATCCCACTCCTAAATGTCTTAATGTGGTTGTTGCACTATATATATATATATATATATATATATATATATATATATATATATATTATATTTTTATTTTTTTATTGTTTTGCACATATATGTCTGTCTTCCGTCCCCTCCCTGCTGCTGTGGTGATCCGAGACCATACTGATCCTTGACACTGTGGTTCTGCTTGGCAGGGAGCCGCGGAAGATCCTACTGCACAAGGGTTCCACAGGTTTGGGATTCAACATTGTGGGCGGGGAGGACGGAGAGGGCATCTTCGTGTCTTTCATCTTGGCAGGGGGGCCAGCCGACCTGAGTGGAGAGCTGAGGAGAGGAGACCGCATCCTGTCGGTCAGTAACTGTCTGTGACACTCAAGTAGAAATAGTAAGGATTAACAGCATTAAAATATATACTACCATTCAAAAGTTTGGGGTCAGTAATATTTTATACTTTTTTTTGTTTTTGAAAGAAGTCTTATGCTCACATAGACGGCATTTATAAATACAGTAAAAAAACATAATATTTTGACATATTATTACAACTTAAAATAACTGTTTTGTATTTGAATATATTTTTAAATGTAAGTTATTCTTGTTTTGTCAAAGTTGTTGTTCAGCATCATTACTCCAGATTTCAGTGTCACATGATTGCTCATAAAATATTTTTATATTTTTGTGAATACCAAAAAACTTGTTTTTCAGGATTCTTTGATGAATAGAAAGTTAAAAAAAAACTGCATTTATTTGAAATAGAAATCTTTTGTAACATTATAAATGTCTTTACTGTCACTTTCGATCAATATAATGCATCCTTGCTGAATAAAATTCGGTAGTGTATATTAAATGGAATGGAAGAGGAATGGATTTTTTCATGATTTCTAATACAGTCTCCTCTCTAAATTGGCATGAAGTCTTAGAGCTAATATTTCATCATGCGATTTGCATGAGTGTGGGGGTTGTTGCTTTAATCTGTTACCATGGTATTGTCCCAGGTGAATGGTGTAAACCTGCGCAATGCTACCCATGAGCAGGCTGCTGCTGCACTGAAGAGGGCTGGACAGACGGTGACCATCATTGCCCAGTACAGACCAGAAGGTAGAGTGGCTCTTTTTATGATGTTTGTCACTGCAAAATAAATTGTGCTCCTTATAGGACAATGAATGAGATTAACAATGAGAATAGATTTGATCTTATTCAAGTTAGCTTTTTTGTAGGGTCTTGTTTATTTAAGAGCAATAAATAAATAAATTAAAATAGATCAAAACTGTGTTTCTAAGAAAAGATCACCATTATGTGGGATTATTGCATCAAGACCCCAACTGCTCTTGCTTTCTTCACACACCCATGTGTTGTGCCTGTTGTGTCTTGCCTGTTTCTGTAATCACTCCATCACAGTGGCATACAGTACTACTGTACTGTATATTCCTTTAAGAAAGGTGAACTTAGCCTCACCTAGTTTTATGAGAAAGAATCCTTATTTGCAAATGAGGACATTCAGTGACTGATCGTTTTTGTAGCTTTTGTTGAATTAAGGTGGGCAGACCTTTATTTTTGACTTAGGCTACTATGCTAAGTTAAGCGTTCAATAATAATAAAGCTGTAGGCTATTCAAAACTATGCATGGAGAAGCAGTCCGACTGCATCTGTAGTTTTACTGAATTCACTGGAACGATTTTTTTTAGTTGGAGTTTAAAGAATCACTTGAACCGGTTCACAATGCCAGTGTCAACAATTAATTGCAGCAAATAGTAGTTAGGTAATAATAAGGATTTTTATTAGAGGAATCATGGCTGCAACAAATTGAACTGTGATTTATGAAATTACAATACACGTCTTTATTAGCGGAACTAATCGGAAAGGGGTATGTGGCTTGATCGGAACGTTTATATCATTCAATGTGCTTCACCGTGTGTCCAGCACCATTCGATGGCGTTATAGAATCAGGTTATTTGAAGCGAATTGTTCAAAAGAACCGATTCGCATAAATGAGTCTGGCTTCCAAACAAAAGTTCACTCGTGAATGAAAGCACTGGGATGAAACTGTGCCAGAAGTGGGAGGGATCAACCTGAGAGGAAAAAAGGGGGGAAAGAACTAAATGGACTGAAAACCACGGAGTGGAGGAAGCGCTTGACTTTACTGTTTGAAAGCTTATTTTTTGGCGCAGGGTTAGCTTTCATCTGCTGGATCACTATGAAAGTCTGTCTGACAGGAGATATGGAATAAGCGCGCGATGGTCGCGTGAGCGAGACGGATAGAAACCCCGCGTCTCGAGCGCGAATGAGACAAAGTTTTAAAGAAGAAGGTGCCGCTATTGGAATGGGAGGAGCAAATCGCAGGACAGACCGAAACAGTTTCACTAAACTCTTTAACGTTACTATTTATTTACATTTCGTGTCGATTTGAAACAAAAGAAAACCGTATTTTCCTCCTTGCGCTACTGTGAAGCATTCTTTATTGTTTGACTTGTTTTTTCCCTTACCTAAAATGTTTTTTCGAGTGAGTTGGACAACAAGAGGTTGAGCTGAACACAGCGCTTTAGCCGCCGTCGCCGGGTAAGATCACCTCAACTCAACTCATATTCAACATTTAAGTTACTGGAAAGAGCTGTGTAAAAAGTAGGCGAAAACTATCAATGGGATGTAAATGTACGTTAAATTGTCTATATAACTGCTTTATATCCTTTATTATGATGTGCTGAAAAGGAAAGGGTCGGTGTCCACGATGGATTTCTGTTAGCTCGAGTTGCATGTTCAACCCTTGTGTATTACGTTGAAAGATTAATCATGAAAACCAACTTATTAAGTTGCTCAGCCGTTGGGCCGACGTCATGAATATTGTTTCTAGCCTTGTGTGTTTTGTCAGTGACTGTTTGTGTTGCTGCGCGACACAGGTAAACTGTTTGCTCGAGGATTTCGTGAGATGTTTTTATATTGAATCTGTAAACAAGACAAAACACAGCAGCATGATATTTAGTGCTTCCACATTACACATTACCATGGACATTACCATAAGCAAAATGGTATTTTCATTTTGTATGAAGGGTAGGGTAGTTCACCTTTGAACTGAACTTCAGTTGTCAAAATGATCCGGGATATTTTGCACTTTGAGTCCTGACGCTTCTCCGTCATGTTTGTTTAATGCTTTATTATATGGAGCTTCCTTCAGAGCTCAGGACAGGTGCTGGGAAGGGCTCATTCAGGAAGTCAGTTTGTCTAAAAAATCTTAAACATTACTGTCATTTTGTCGTTCAGTGGAAACTACAACAGGATAACTTTGTGAAATAGTTTCATTTAATTCATATTAAATGTGTTGCTGCTTCTGCTAATGATTTGACACATGTCAAATAATTTCCCTAGACCAAGAATATCATGAGTCAAAGTCAAAGATGGTGTTAACTAGCTGGGAACACTAAACGGAAGACGTGGACACATTTGACTGGCACAGAGGAAGGATAGGGAATCAATTATTGTCATTGAAAAGATTTGTAGTGCACTAACAGTCATTTTTACTTGTAAAATGTAGTATGTCAATGCATAGTTCATTCTTTGGTGTCTATGTGAGAAATGACAGGAATGTTGCAGTGTAAGTTATCTGTTTCGGCATGCTCTCCTCCATATTCCTCCTTAGTCAGACACTCCTGAAGTATAAATGGACTGCCTCTCCCTCCCAAGGGCCTTTACGTCTACATAGAAATAGAAGTGACACATTAATTTGTGCCAGAATAGCTCATTGAATTAAGTGGGAACCAGCACTATGAGAGACATTATGGCTTCTTACTTGAGTGTGTGTAAGAAAGAGACAGTCTAGTTGTAGACTGGCTTCTGTTAAAATTTGAACTCCTCATGTCATACATTAACTTAGAGGGCAGTGATTGAACTTGAACTGTGAAGTGTTTGTGTCCAGCATGGAGAAATGTTCACAACACATTCTATTATTTGTTCTTGCATTCCACATTTACAATTAAATGGCATGTTGTATATTTTTAAAGTCTGTATTAAAAGGAATATCTATATATTCCAAATGCATATCATCGGTAATTTTTGTCTTTTTTGACGTATTTTTCGTCAATGTCAAAACATGATCTTACAATGAAATGGCAGATTTCTACAATTTTTTTGTGTAGATAGATACTCATATGGTCGAATGTGGATCACAACAGGAGTTACACATTCTGACAAGCACGTAACACGTATCTTTTTGTGCAGATATAGGTTGTAAGATGTTTATGTTGCAATCTCATATAAGATGCATATTGTTGAGTTATTTAACCCACTAGATATATATATATATATATATATCTGACAAGATTTTCATTTTGGTGCATCACTATGGAAGACATAGTTAGTAATATACAAGGCTTATAATAAACAACCAGTTAATCATCACTTATTTTGAATGGAGAGGTGTGCTGATACTTTTCTAAAGGTGATGATACACAGGACAACTATTTGAGCAATGTTGCTGGGCAATCTTGCCGAGTGATTGTTGCTTGGGCACTTTCCCTTTGAAAAATACATTTCTATCTGGATAATTTAGATCGGTCGTGGGCCCTGTGTCTCATCTGGTTGCCCGTTTACGGCAACATTGCCCAAAAAGTTGCCCTATGTATCATCACTTTAAGAGATTAGACATGGAACACCCTAGCGAACGCATATCAATGTACTCAGTGAACACGTTGAGCATCTTAGCAACTGCATAGTGTTTGTGATTTAGCTGTTATAGTTCCATGTAGAAAACAAAAACAAAGAAACATTAGAGAATACCTTAGTTTAAAAAAAAAAACCCATCTGGACACCAAAAGGAAAAAACCCTACAAAAGTCACACAGCCTCCCATTCTGTGAAACATTTACAACATTTGCACTCGCATTAACTTTTTAAAATGTTTTTGGCCTGAAAAAACAAATGTTTCAGGAGACTGTTTACTTATTTTTTGGACCAATTTTAATATAAATCCATAGTTGTATTTTTCTGTTTTTTAGGAATGTACAGTACAGTACACTATATCTGTGCCATATTGACTACGGGCTGATAATAAGATTTTTATTAATGAGTATTATGAGTATTGTTGTTCAACCGATAGTAGATGTTTAGTTGTGCATGTATTTTTCTCCATATTTCATTTATTTTCTATTACATTTAGATTACCTTTGCTGTCATCTAACACTCACTTAAAGGTTGGGTAGATATCTTTTGGAGAGGCTACCAAAAGCGAGCTAGTTTTGAAAGTATAAGATCCCACCCTCCCTTCAGATCACTCTACAAACATAGCCATGACTCCTCCAAAACACATGAACATCAGCCAGAGCAAACAAAAGCGTCATGAGAGACTGCGTTAAACTACCTCATGTCTCAAAGCACATAACATTACAATAATAATGAACATAAACAACTTAAAGAGCACTGACCTGTATCATTTGACTGCTGCATATTAAATTTGGCGTTGATAGTGTTGCCATTGAAACGCATAAATTCTAGTCACAAACCGCTCGAAGTATAACATCACTGGTTTCCATCTCTTCCAAATTACGGGTAGTTATGGCGTGAACGCAGCATAAGCTCGTTGGTTTGGTTCTGGGGGATCTGTAAAAGGTGGCAGCTGTTTGTTTGCGGTGCTCTGTAACCAACATCTGTCTAACTCTGCATAGCATGAAATGCGGTGGTGACCATAGACTGTAAAAAAAGATGGACGACGCCCCTTCGCTCTCTTCCATTGGTCAGAAGTGAAGCCGCCAGTATCTCGATATAGCGCTGACATCTTGGAACTTGAGTCTGCACAGTAGCGATTTCGGGACCAGACATGCGCAGTAGTGAGCAGGAAGTAGAGCCGTGAAATCAAGGCCCCGCCCTCACTCTCGCAGAATCAATCGCAAGCACACGCTCCTGCACTTTAAAAAAAAATTAATTATAGAAATTTAGATATTAAATTTAAAGCTCCAATCTCCTCAGTCCTCCGAAGATCCTGAAGAAAAGTCTGTTGGTGCTTCAGTGACTACTTCACTCAGAGAACCTGTCAATCACAGCTGTCAATCATGACGTCACCACCACCGCATCAAGTAACTAACTAAAAACAAACTTATTTTAAAAACAAACACTTGAAATTACATCAGCGTGATAAAAACTACAGTAAATGACAGAAACCATCTTTGGAAAAACAATATTTGAAGTGTAATTTAATTGTTTAGTTGGTCTCACGTGCCGTTAAATAACATGGGGAGGCGGGGTTTATGACCTAGGACCAGCCACCGGGGGGTGATCGAGACGTTTTGGCTTCACTTTTCAGGGCTTGTGTGGCACGCTTGGTGGTGACGTGTGATGTCTGTGCAAGCGGGTGTGCGGAGGTATGAAAATGCATACTTTGACAGGCAGGTAGGACATCATAGGACATCGGACCGAAAGGAATGATTGGATGAACATTTTATGGTCCTACGCCTTCCAGAGATGATATACGTATAAATACATTTAGGCCGTGTGTCCACCAAAGCGTTTTTCCACGCGCCTGGCGTATGTTTTCAATTGTTTTCAATGGGAGCGCCGCGTTTTTAGAACGCCATGAGCGTAACGAGGCGCTGAGCGTTTTTTTCATGCTGAAGCGCTGAGAGCTCGGCGTTTTTACTGGTCGCCGAGAGTTGAAAAATGTTCAACTTTGGATAAAACGCAGCGCTCATCACTGTCACTTTTACCCAGCCGTCCAATCACAGTGGAGGAGGGGCGGGACTAATACCACACCGACCAACTGTCACAACATTCTTTCTGTACAACGACATTAACCAGCAGAGCTAACCGAACAAAATGGATGAAAAATAAATTTTCAGTATGAAAAAAATTATCTGCAAAATCAGTTACAAGTAAACTGTGCTGAGGATATTCTGTATCATAGCAACGAAACGTCTCAACGGAAAAAACGCTGTGCTGCCAAAACGCTCTCAAGCGCCCACAGCTAGGCGTTTTCAGCAGAGCGTCTAGCGTTTTCAGCTGGCTAAAAACGCTTTGGTGGACACACGGCCTTAGACCACTTAACTTAGTGAGTGCTTTCAGGATAGGCAGAGACTTTCAATCAGCATAACAAAAAATGTTTCTGGAACAAATCACCTACCCTGCCTTTGAAGTTAATATAAAAAATAATAATAATTTGATAACACTATTAAATGTAATCTTATACAAATTACAAAATGAATAGGCCCTATGCATTTTTTATATTGTAAATTATTATTATAAAGATTATTTTCTGCAAGGAATCATGACATGGCTCATTAAATCAAAAGATGGAGTAAATAAATTCTGTTGATGGCACTAACCTGCATGCCTGTTGAGAGCACTGTGCTAACCATAACCTAGCCCCTATGCATGCTTTCACGTTGAAAGCACATGGCTGCAATATTATATAACTGCATTGACAAAGAGGCAGGCTGCAGCCAATCCCCACTCCCCAAAAATAAAAGCCCTGCACATAATGAAGGGAAGTGAGGCAGAGCTGCCCCAGATTCTACCCAGGTCTTAAGGTGACGGGTCACACTTAACAAAGACCTTGCGCTTTAGCATTAGCCTTTGTATGTTGGGAACTGTGTGTCTGACAGGCTGAGAGGACCCAGCTGTCTGTGTCGTTAGTCTATAACTATAACTATAATTGTTCAACAAGTTTTTCTAGCTGTTTCCTCCCACCTCTCCATTGAGGTGTTCCCCTGGTTACAGGCAGGTGGTGTCAAGTTACTTTACCTTGCCTTGTCATTCCAGCAGGTTGTTAACCCATTTGTGACAGACAGGGCGTTTACAGAAGAGCTCCCTGCAGGCGCGGTTTCTGCTGACATTGAAGTCCAAGTTTCGGCTTTATATTGAGCTTTAGACTTAATATAGATTTAGAGTTACTGCCGTGCCGTTATGAGTTTTCAAGTTCTCATGAAATTGAAATTCCTGCCTCAGGTTCTGTTTTTTTGGAAGGTCGACTTTTGATCCTCGTATGCACGGTTACGGAGCAAGTTGAAAATCATAAAGTCTTTGTTATGGATGATCTATATTAGACTTCCAAGGTACATCCCAGTGCTTAAGAAAACAATAGTCTTTCCTCGGCTATGTTATCCTTGTTTGCCCATGCATTTCGCTGTTTACATGTCCGTGTGATTCAGTTGCTAAGCTTGCGAGTTGCCCGACCACACTGCAGCTGAGGTGTGCATGTTTAATGAAAAGGCCTCCGTACAATCAGCCATCATGCTTCAGTGCTGCTTCAGAAACTAAACCCTTGTTCACTATGAAAAATTATTACGGTCCGACGTTTGTTGGAGGTTTTCATTCCGTTATACTGAATAGTGCATGTTCTACTTAATTAATATGCATAATTAATTATCTGGCAGGAGATATTAGCGTAGCTCATGCAGATACATGATTAATATCCATCTGTTCTCCGGGTCATTAATCAGTTCTCAATAAGCTGCTGAGCTTTCCTTCTCTGCCCTGCTCTACAAGCACTTCCACTCATAAAACCTGGAGCAAAGCCCGGAATATCACTGTAAATATAGGTGTTGCTGATGGATTGTGTGCCTTGTCTCTTTCCAGAATACAGTCGTTTTGAGTCCAAGATCCACGACTTGAGGGAGCAAATGATGAACAGCAGCATGAGCTCTGGCTCCGGCTCCCTCCGCACCAGTGAGAAACGCTCCCTCTACGTCAGGTATCTTCTTCATCCTCCGATTCCTTCATTCAGTTGTACTGATATTTGACATATTTGTGTGAAAGTGCTTTTTCAATCAGAGGAACCTTCATTTCGATCAAACAGCCATAGTAGCCAATTAGATTCTAGTTCAAATAATTAAGACATGTTTGAACTTGAGTATCAGCTGTCTTGCATTTAATTCCAATAATGCAGCATTTATTTCTAAAAAGTGTTTATTTATACATTATATATTTGTCATCAACATGCATTTTGTTTGCAGTGAGACTTTAAGCAGTGAAAAGAAGTGCAATCTTTTTTTGTAGTACAATATCTTATAATGTTATTGTTAGGGATGCATCATGCGCCAATAGGAAAATTTGGGCCGATTATTATTTATACTTGAAAGCCGATAACCGATATATTGGCCGATAAATCTAAATTAATATAATTTTTGAGAGTCTGATTACAAAATCAAGTCTCATCATTAAAAGCCATGTCCCAAGCACTTCAATATATCAAAAATATACAGTTGTAGCGAAGTCCCACTACAATTGAAAGTTCAGCTGATTGAGGCGGCCAAATATGGATCAGATTCCGATTAGAGAATTCAGGAGTGGAGAAGAGATTCTTGATAATGAGACATTTATTTACAATCTTGAATATGCATCTGGGGTATGCATCTGTGTTTGTATATGGTCTACAGAAGGGAATAAAGAGAAATAATTTACAATAATATTCCACTTAAATGTCAATATTAAACGCATGAAATAACGAAAATACAGTAGTACACAACATAATACAATGCTGTAAACAAACACGGAGCGCTTTATCGGAGCAAAACACTCGCGTGTCTAGTGATGACTCATCAGATTAGTTCGGCAGATTACGGCCGAAATGAACGGTGAAATCCAAGCAATATACACATTGGTAATTTCCTATCAAATGCACGACACATACTAATAAGGTATATATATATATATATTAGTGCTGGGCAAGTTAACGCGTTATTATGCTCACTGGCTCTGAATACACATAGGCCTACAGTCAAACCATGATCACAGGAGGGGTGGGATGTTGGTCAGCCAGCAAATAACCCACCCAAACAAGCAGTGGAGAGGCTTTGGCAGGTTCTCTCAGGTGAACAGAAAGGGAGACAGCGCTCCGCGAGTGAATGACAGGCGCTCTATGGATAGTAACCATGGCAACGGCTTCTGTGCGCTACGCAGCTGTAGCCTTCTTAACTTAAATTAAAATTATACATAACTTTACCTGATAGGCCTGCGTTTAGTTTAGCGGGGATGCTCTGCCATGTGAATTCCCTCCTGTTGATGTCCTGATAACTATTTAGATTCTGGAAACTCACAAACAGCGAGCCGAGGATCAGTCTCTCTTCCAATGATTTGTGCTGCGCGTCGTGTACAAAAAGTTAGACAATTCAACTTCGGCAACGCGCGGGCGCGTGCGTGAGGCGAGCATGACCGCAACAGTTTCACAGGAACGCACCCGCTTGTCGCTGCACCTGTGCTCGACCACTTCACCTCACTCTAGGCTGATTTATACTTCTGCGTCGGACCTACGCCGAAGCCTCTACGCTATAGACCACGCGTTGGTTTTCATTTATATATCTGGTCGTTGTCCGCGTTGACGCGCAATTACACATGCAGAGGGAGAGTGTGAAACCCGGGGAGCGGTTCTAGCAATCACAGCGCTTGCGGTACGCGTAGAATTGGCTTTATGCCACAGCTTCACTACTTCCTGAACTTCAGCCAGCCCTTTGTTTCCTGTCTGTCATTATTGGACAAACTGATTAATCCAGGTGTGCCTGGCCTCAGTAACAATAATCAGGCACACCTGGATTAATCAGTTTGTCCAATAATGACAGACAGGAAACAAAGGGCTGACTGAAGTTCAGGAAGTAGTGAAGCTGTGCATAAAGCCTATTGACGTTACATTTTTGGAGAGATGCACGTCAGGGTACGCGCGCTACACAGCTACGGCGTGAGTTCGACGCAGAAGTATAAATTGGCTTTACCTCTGTTTAATGTAATCTTACATGGGAAACCATGGCATGCCATGACCAAACCTAAGCTGCTATCAGAGAAGTAACGTTGGTCGACTTATTTCTGTAGTAGTGATCATGACCCTTTGACTACATAGACTGTTTCTGCTGCTCCCTGATACAAGATACCTGTTCAGAAAAAAACAACAAGAAGAAAACTGGACTCTTTTAACAAGCTAGATAAAAGGTAATGCCCTGGCAGTGGCAAATAGCTTTGTTTAAATATTTGATTTGATTACATTAATGTTTAAGGTGAGATTTACAAGAAATATTTTATACTGTGTAAAGGGAATACTGCTGGTATAAAAGCACCTTATTTGTTTAAAGTTTTTGCAAACCACATGTTATTGCACTTTTGTAGCAGTACATTTCAGGGATGGAAATTAACTTTTTTGTCCACCGGCCACTGTGGCTGGTGGATTTCAAAATCTACCAGCCACTCAATGTTTTTACCAGCCACTTTCTTGTTTTTAACCGACAATGTGTAACTGCATGTGAAAATTAATACTACAAGAATACTTAAGCAGTTCATTTAATCTCAAGTCTCAATGAAATACTGACATTTTCTCTTTCTCTCACCCTCGGCCTCATCCACCTAATCTGTCATTTATTTTTGTTTTGATGATAAATTGAGCCAGCCTCCAAAAGTAATTAACCTGTCCTGTAATTTTTTTCTCTCTCACACAACACTCTCCAGACATGGATTTATGAGCTATAGTATGTTGGTTGCCTTTACATTAGAATAATATTTAATATAATCTAGATATGAAATGGAATAAATAGCATTCAATACAAAATGAATATGTCTCATATATTGAAATCAAGTTTTATGTGATACAATATTTGCTTTGTTGTGCATTAGAACCACATCAGGCATTTAGTACAAAATAATTTATTGAAGCATCCAGATACTTCACCACGTGACAGCAGCTAGGCTCCTGATTGGTTAACGCGGCGCGAATTGATGCTAAAGTTCAGATTTTTCAACTCGGGCGGCAGACGCGAATTCGCGTCAAACGCGTGAATGCACAAAAGCACTCAATAAAATCATGCGCGCGGAACGAGTCAGACGCTCGAACTTGCCGCGCGAATGAGGCGTATTCGCATCTACCACGGCGCGTTCTACACCTCATTCGCGCCGCAGGAATTTTTTACGCGCGTAACGCGTCTTTGCATTGACTTAACAATGAAATCACTCGCGCCAGACGCTCTATTCTCGTCTGGTGTGAACGCACCATGATGTTTTCTCTGCAGACCTCTACGCCTGCGATGTAACGGCACATTTTGTTTGAAGGTGTGCCTCCTCTAAAAGTGTCCGCCGTCCGGGTGAAACAGTATGCTATTTTTATTTACCCGCCACGGTGGCCGGTAGGTGAAGCGAGTTTACCCGCCACAACACAAA